TCATATGAAATTAGTTTCTTCCCAAATGCCTGTTATTCCAGTTGTTAAATTACTTTAAGTCACGCTCCAAGGCATATATAGTATACTACAATCAAACAGGAACAACACTTTGCATATTATTAAATGCCAAATTCTTTCTGCCACTCTAGAAGCAGAACTGCAGCCAGAAATGTGTGCTTTCTATGCTTCTTTGCAATTCCAATTGCCAAGTGAACACAGGCTGGGGAAGCAGTGCTGCCAAGTGTCAGTGCTGCGTTAATATTGTTATTATTCTCTGGGAATAAAGTATATAACGCTATTTTCTCCAAAGGCATTATTGATACCAAGGATTAGCACTACAATTTGTATAATTATTGCAGTGCCCACAGGCCTTCATGTCATCAAATATTTATACAGCACAGAATAGTTGAGACCAAATGATTTTAAAGGTCTTCCTAGACCTTCAGAAGCATAAGAGAAGTGATCTGATCAGTAACTAATTCAAAGAAAAAGCATAACAATACTATGTCAGGATGCTTGAGAGAGATAGTCATCTCGCAATAACCTTGAAATCTCTTCACGTTACTTTTTAAAAATCATTAAAGGCCTTCAGCTTTTGGACTTTTTTTCCCTCCTAAGAACCCATCCATTTTTGTTTTAATATCCAGTAACCTCTTGCCACTTTGCATGACCTGTCCTCCAGTGTCCAGGGTTTGCTTTTCCTGCTTTAGGGCTCCATCCTATAAATATCTGTTACAGGTTGCAGGAATTAATGCCAGGGTAGCCAGTCGATATTATCTGGTATCAGCAAAGCATTCAGTGACAACACAGGGTGGCATTTTTTGGTTTGTTTGTTTTTTAATAGCAGCAGCAGGATGGTCTACGAAAAATACTGGTTCATTCTGACGTATACAATGTAAAACGCTACTAAACTGTAGAAAGACATCAGTGCACTGTGCTCCAAACCCTACATAAAACCCCTTCCCCCCCCTCCCCAAACACATACACAAGCAAATCTACCATTTATTTTCTGAGATACAACGTAGCATCTTTACCTTTCCCAAGACTCTGCAAACAAGACAGGCTTCTGGAGCAAGCATATATACAGGGTACAAAATTAAGCAGCATCAGTCACATGCCTTCTTGGGATGGCTGTTCAATGCCATCTAGGCCTAACTATGAGCACCTTGCTCCAGTATGGATTACACCAACCTCACCAGAAGTCCTCAAATTTACCAGCAGGAGCACAGGCTCCAGAGTCTGGGCCATATACAGCTTTATGGCTTCAGAATCAATGTTGAATTCAGTAGTAAATTTACGTGCAAGAAGAGACTCATACAAGCTATTAAATATAGCTATATGAGTACTTTTGAGGATTACCCTTGATTCATCTTTTCATTTTTCTCTATATTTCAGTTAATTCTGAAGAAAACTGTACAGAACCTTAACAGAAAAAAATAGGTTTCAAATTGCAATATGTTTACTACTGCTTAGTGGATGTCAAACTGCTACAACATGAAAGTCTCTGTTAATTGACTAAATTATCATCAATATAAGCTGCCTTGACATCTAACGACATTTGACAAAGAACACTAAATTACACAGTATTCCTCTAATGATAATGCCCTTGAAACACAGCCATTTTATTTGGCTTCTCAGATTATAACAGGAAAGAAGGAAGAATATATGCTGGTCTCAGAGTAGCTGGTATTGCTAATTTTTAAGTACGTATCACTAAGAACTAAGTTACTGTTAAGCTAGGAAGTACCAAATGCTGCTCAAGTCCAAGAAGCAGCCCTCGCGCCTTCCCCAGTGGTGAGAGGAAACAGACAGGAAACAGACTTCTAAAAGCAAGCGAGCATTGAGCAAGAGTAAAATCCAAAGCATTGCTAGAGAAGAGGCTAATGACACTTCAGGTACTATATTAACTTTTAGTATTTGAGCGATACCCATAAAACCCAAACCTCTGGAAGTACCACTAATGACAATCTTTCAATTCCTCAAACTGAAGAACAAGGTCACTATCACAGAACACAGGTCAGAAACAGCCAAAAAATTAAATTCCTCTAAAATGGCATAAGCCTTTTAACTTTTCACACAAATATCACTGTTTAATCTGCTATCTCACATGACACCATGGCTAAAAACATAACCTCGCAGTGCTAGCCTAAGTACTAGTGAGTTGGGATTAGACAGAGAGCAACCGCAACATCCAGAAACCAATGATAAGTCATTGATCATATAATGCATGTTTAATAAATAGACATCTGGCCAGCTGCAGGAATATGGTGCAATAGCTAAGTCTTAATAACTAATCCAGCCCACTTCTACTTCAGTCTCTAAACAAAGATTTATATTTAGGATGGTTTGTTTAAATAGATAATACTGAAAAGACCAAAAGCAGGATCTAATAAGTAACACTTCAATGAAGACACAAAGTAATTAGCAAGTCAGCAAGATACTATGCAACTACACATTGTTTTAATTTCAACATCATAGGGAAAACAGTGTAATCATGGGTAGGATGTTAGCAACACCTTGCATTGAAGTTGCCAACACCTCTCTCTCTCTCTTTCAGCGGTTTTTATTTGGTCCCCCACCATAATGAATACAGACATTACTTCTAGCATTTTCCACCAAGGTAATAGGATGTTATTTTAAAATATCTACAGTGCTCTGAAGAATCGATCCTTTCTTTCTGCAGTTGGAAAAGGTTCATGCATTTAAAAAATAGTAATCCAATACAGCATATGCCGCATTGTGTTTTAAACTAACTTTTTTCCCCCACATAAAAAAGGCCGTTTACTCAGCACAAAATTCTGGAACTGGAAACATTGTAATGGAACTGCTGTTATGTTCTTGCAAAAAAATAATACATTGAGAAAACACAAGGAGGCAGGTGGTGCATGATCCCTCTTCTAACCTCTTCTAGGGTTCGGTTCCTACCCCAAAACACATCAGGATTTTCAGGAGTAATTCTTTTGAAAATGATCGTTGAAAGTTGCTTTGGAAAGGGTATAACTAGGATAAATTTCCTGTGTCCAATAAGGTCAAAGTTAACGCTAGCAGAGAACCTCGCTCAAGATTTCAGACACCCAAGTATATTCCATGTCAGAACATTGAGATGATTGATTTTAGTTAAACGTCTGAACCTACCACTCAGAAGTGTCTCATATATACACAGTCCAACTAAATTCCATTACTAAAAGCAGCTACTAAGTAAGGAGAGGATCACTAGTTTCTAACTCAATTCTCCTGTAAGCTTGTCTTAACCAAAGCTGTATCTCAGTAATTGCAAATGACTTCACTGTCATTAACATTACTAAACTTCATTGAGAAAGCAGTCTGCAAGGACATTAAAATAAAATCAACTTTGCACAATTAAAAGACAACTCTTGTCTTTAAGGCATTGTAATACTAATTAACAACAATTGCTTTCTGGTTGAGGATTTCTCTTGGCTGTAAATCAGGGAAGATGCATTTTGAGCAACAGCAGACAAATTCAGCCAGATATGGCTTTTGGGGGAAGAGCAGGAAAAAAATAAAACCAAAGGCTGGTAAACAATTCAGCTCAAGGAAAAAGTACTGAAGTACAGACCGTGCTCATGCAGGAGACAATATTTAGACAAAACATTTTATGCCATGTAGTAACAATTAGGGAAGAAAGCTGAATTTCAGAACAGTGAGTCATCATCAGCAGTTAGCATTCTAGTTTTGTATGAAGTCTTCCCTCACGGATTGCAATTTTGGCTTCCACTTACTGCATTTTTACTTGTGTGTCAAGCTCTCTGCCCTCTCCATAACTGATGCCGAGCTGCATGTAGAACAAATGCAGAGAGCGGCTAGCAATCAGCATGCTCAGGAAAATAATATATGCTGCAGTTTCACTAATCAAAGTTGCTCACTTATTCTCTTGGGACAGAAAGATAGTAGTTTTACATTTTTATATGGGAAAACGTATTGCCATTATTTGAAAGTTTTTTTGCTCAAATTCGGAATCCTGCTTTAAATTCCCCCCCTTTCCCCCACACCATCCCCAATCACAAAAAACTTTATCCTGCTTCAGGAACAGCTACAACCTCCAGGCTCCCCAACTTTCCTAAGGTATCTTTTGCCTATTAAGAAATAATAATGACTATGTAAAAGAGCAAAGGGACACCTATGGAAACACATTGCACCAAACAGCCAAGCTAGCAGAGAGAATGATCAGTTAGAGATATAAGTATACAGTGATAAGGCCAAGCAAGTCCTGGGTGAACAGGAATCTTAATCTGGACTGTAAAGGAAAGTACCAGCCCAGACAAATGAGAGCTTTGGAATGAGGTTTATAGTGAACATTACCCAAACCAATTTTATGATGAGTGATTTTATGATCATTACAATTATTAAATCTTTACTCAAATTACTTTTTTAAATGCAGAAAGAAATTAGGGAATTTTAGAAAAGTAATGGGTTAATATTCAGTATGTTTACTTGGAGATGTACAATTTTAGTAACTCTGATTAAGGGGATACAGTAGAGCTCTCTGACTAACAAGCAAAGCACTAATCCTTTGCACTATGCTATCATTTTAAGATATGCATTACATTATGTTCCAACTAATCTGCTATGACTTCAGCAGGGTGACCCCCCCCAACTCTTAACATAGATAAGGATCAATTATTAATGGAAAAAATGAAGACGGCAAATCCTAATAAATACTGGTAGCTACATAGCTGGTTTTAGATCTCTTAAATCGAAGGCAGACAACACACTAATCTTATTTGCATTAAAGAAGAGCAAAAACAGAGTCAGGAAAATGGGGTTACAACATAGCACGTTGCCAAAGAACGGATGTTTGACCATTTTCAGTCCTTAATAACAGCATTTAATACTACCAACTGCATGTTATTTTAGAAAAATGAACCTTTTTGGAATGGTGGTGAAGTAATAGAAATGTTTATCTAGCCGAGGCCATAAAACCTCTAGGAGATTGACTTGGCTTAAATTCTAGTATTATTTACTTATTTTGGCAATACTAGTTTCAGTTGGATGCCGAAGCAAACGTCAGCACATACACAGCACAGGCCTGAAGCTAGGGCCCCAGTGCCTTTTGGAGCAGACACCACCGCCTCGTCTTCCAGAGTGGTTTGTTACTATCCTTCACCACTGCCATGAAACACTTCAGATGATCAAAGCCTAACAGACAACTGCCTAAACATGGAGACAACATCCTGAGGGAGGGCCAACTGCCACACTGCTGCAACTTGGATATGTTACAGTCTGGTAGGTGGACAGCCAGACACGGCAGCAAAACGTATGGGGTTGGGGGTCTTACAACTGCAATGTGATTACATGCGGTGTGAAAAAAAGGTGGGGGGGGGGGGGGGAGGGAAACAGCGCCCAGGAGAAGGTCACCAAGGGCAGAACTTGCACAATCTTGAAATAGTGATCAGGGAGATGGTTAAAACTGACCCAAACAGGAAGGAACTGCATGTCATCGGCCAGCCCAACCAGTATAAATGGCCCCTGCTATTGGTATAAGGAGAAGACTGCCTTAATACTCCAGCAGAAATATTTAAGATATAGTTCAGTGTAGAGGGAAAACAGGATTTTATGTACCTTATCAGGTCTTCGTAAAGAGGACTGACCCTTTCTCAGATCCTGGCTGCCAGCAGTTTCAGCCATGTCAGCCTGTCTGTTCCTTTGCCCTGGAAGGATCCTTCTGCCCTCCATCAGGACTCTGAGAAGCTTTTTTTTTATTTTTTTTTAAACCATCTCATGCAGAATTGGGATAGAGTCAGCTCAAGGCTTACTAGAGTTTTAAACAAAATTTTCATTTTTCTGCCTAGAGTCCTGCAGGTGAAAAAGCAAAACAACACTTTCCTGAAAAAATTAGAATGACATTTGGGAATGGAAGGAGAATGGAAGAGGGGAGTTTAACAGGATTTTAGAGGGTGAAGTAAAGACAGGAACAGGAGAAGTCAGGGGATTGAAGCAGGGTTTTTCCTGTTCTTCCTCAGCCTACTTTTCTCCTCAAATTCCCCTCCTTTCCCCCCATTCCCTGGGGATTTTGAACTCCTCTCCTCTCCATTCAACTTGCTTTCTGTCCTACAATTGTCCACCCCCCTCCCCAAACCTCTGCAAAAGAAATAGCTTTTTTCTCTCCTCCTTACACAGTGCATCATCTTTCCCAGCTCCCAAAGAAAGAAGTCGCAAGAGCTATGGCCTCCTCTTCCTTCAGAGAGTTAGAGGAAAAGAGTTTGGAAGACAGATGTACAATCAGAGCAGCAGCCCAAGAAGAATGAATTTTTCTAATTCATAACTGTGGTGAAGGAAACAGCCAATGCTGGGAGAAGCAGCAGCAGAAGAGCTGAGGTGGAAGCAGCCAACTCCAGCCTCTTCATACATGAGCAAATACTGTCTCCCATCCTTCACTGCAGCATATTCTGCTTGTGCTTTGAGCCTGTTCTGAATAACTCCTGGCTTCTCTTGCTCTGCACCAAGCAACGACATTTCTTAAGACTCTGCTAGTTCCTAATGATGTGGAATATATAACGTGTCACAGCTACATGCAGTTAAGCAATATGCAAAAGAGAAAATGCTAAGGTTTGAAAGAAAATCCTGTCTTAGCATACTATTAGACTAATCATGTGAAAATGTTTATTTGCTATGAAGTCACAGTTATTAAACACATTGGTCCATGCTGCAGTGTTACAATACTCTTCCATGCTGCTACAAGATTTAAGGTTATGTTAAAAAGATACATTCAGCTAATGAAATTAATGACCTTTAATACTCCCTTGAAGTATAGGTTTTCAGCACAAATTTGCTTCATTATCACAGTCCTATAAGCCTTGTGACACATAATGGTCACTGATCCTATCCAGAATACAGTGAAACATGGCAAAAGTTTAATTGTACATGCATCCACATTTTAAAGCAAATAAGGCAGTCTCCGAGGCTATTAATAACAGATGTCTTTCATAATTAAAGGGATAATGTCCAAAGATTACCTGGAAAGTGTTTTAATTAAATTTAGTAAATTATTGAAGTCGTCATTATGTGGAAATTCAGTGAAAATTGGGTGCTCAATTTTGCAAGGGTACAACAACAACAGCAAGTTTTCCCCAACGTTTGTGTTATACACATAGAGGTCCAATATGCATGCTGAAGCACCTGACTTGGTACAAGTTATGAGTTTTCTTCATTTACTTAACATGCACTGTGGTTTCAGGAAACGGACCTAGCAAGCCTGGTGCGCTGCAGTATGCACTGTATTTTTTCCTCCTGAAACACAAGGCTTCTTTAAAATCTCATCCAAAAAGCCTAACTTTGCATTTGGATAGGAGAGAAGAGAGCTGGTCTCTTGGATGCAACTCCACACAGCTCCATTCACATAAAAAGTCATCTCAATGAGTTTATAAAAAATATATTCACATAAAATAGTGTCAGCACTGGATAACATTTTCTATGGACACTAGTTTTGTGAATGGGTAGAGAGAGGCACAGAAGCGTTCAATGACTTCTCTTGAACGCGTTGGCAGCACAAGAGCAAATGCATTCCAGGAATTCTCTCTAACAATGTATTGCAATAGTAAAGGTTAGCAGGGTCTTTGGATGGAAATAAGTGGCTCTGGCAAGTAGTTAACATAACTAATTATGAGAACACATCTTGTCTAGACAGAAGAAGGATTAAGACCATCCATTACTGAATAAGAACATACTCTTTTTGTCTACCTTGTCAGTTTTAAATTATTCAGAGCAGTAGTACATGACGTCAGACTGCATTTCTATGTTTCTGCTCTCTGGGTTGCTATCACATCCATTCATATCCACTCCAGGCCATTCACAGACTGAAAAAGGTCAGTCAAAAAGCAAGTTTAAGAAAACAGTTACATGGATATAGCTTCTAAAAGAACCAAGGTAAAATCCTTGAGTGAACAGCAACAGCTTTTATACCCCATTGTTCACCAGAAGCCTAAAATTAGATACCTAGGCAGTCCCCCCTGCCTTAGGAGGCAGTAAATGTCCATGTTTTTGCGCTATTAGCATGGCCAAGTAATAAGAAAGGCTTCAGAAAAGGAATACTGTGCATGCCTAGTTGCAGTACAGTGAGTCATGGAACCCACAGATGAAGAGATTTACTGTGCTTGCTAGAGAACCCCCAAGGTAAAAAAGGTAAATTTAAGAGGCAGCAAAGTTGCATGAAGGACAGCTGGTGCCAGAGCTGGCTTAGGGGCAAGGGAGGGAAAAATAACTCTACAAAAGATGCAATTGTAACAGGAAAAACTTATGTAATGGTTGAAATGAATACATGATTAACAGGAAGTTATTTACTGATTTCGTATCTCAAGACTAGTTGAAATTAGAATACACAAAAAGCACAAGGAGGGATATGAGCTCTTTTTAATATGTCGTTCAGTACATTACACAACAGAACAGGGTTTTTTTTTTTTTGAGAACATTTTACCAAAGAACAGAACAGGTAGTGACATAACTCACTACTTGGCTTCCTGGGCAAAACTGAATTTACTGATCTTTGAGAAAAGCGTGCAACATTTGGGTTTAACCATAAAAACTCTGGAAAGTCCAAATTCTGATGTGGCATAAAATCCAGGCCAGAGCCAGAACTTCTGGTTAATGCCCAGCTGGAGGCAAAGCAGCCACTAGCTCTCTGAAGCATTCCCAGGCTCCAGCCTGCCATTGCCCCTACACGTGCTTATTCTGCTACAGAAAATAAAACCAAGCAAAGCTGCTAAGCTTTTGTTCTAGGACCTGAGTATTTTATATCCAAAGTTGTGCTGTACAAGAATCAGCAAGGAATAAGCTTTAAATGCTTCTAGAATAGAACTAAGAGGGAAGAAACAGGTTTACATGCAAAACTGGTATTTTTAATTCAGCTATTGTCAGGGCCCTCAGTGCACCAACAGGCCTTAACAGCCCCAAGCAGCCTCACCTGGGGCCTCTCCCACACCCTTACTCATATCACTTCCCCCTTACAAATTAAAATCACTGCTCCTGCAATCATGGGCAAAGGTTAGACTGTCAAAGCTGGTTGGATAAATACAATTTGTTTCATGACACCAGAGTTTATCACATGACTTTCACCTCCAAAGCACATACCTCCTACGGAGTCAAAAGCTGAAGCTGAGATACACCACAGACATGAACATATATCTAAATGCAGTGTCTGAAGTATTATTGATTTTTATAGCCAGTCAGAATACTTTCAATAAAATTGCTGTTTTTACTGGGTTTTGACCAGCTCTTTTGACTCAATTTATAAGAATGTCTTTGCATTTCAAAAAAGGTTTAGTGGGGAGAAGAGGAAGAATCCTTCAGAAAACAGCCTGTGTTAAAACCACTGCAATCGTAAGCAAGCAGTGCAAATAGAACTGACCATGCTGAAACCACCTACCTCTTTATAGTTTGTCTGCTCCAGTCTTAAAAATACCGAAACTTTAAAACTGTCCTTCTCCACCAACCCAGCAGATTATTTTCCTTTTGTAACTAGACTTGCATGGAAAATTCTTACAAGCATTTTTCACCTTTTTGCTACTCAGGCTTCTGCTCATACATTACTAACAGCAGCAACTTAAGAATTTCAACCAGTTTGAACTAATCTCCTGTGTCTATGTGCACTATATTTGCTGCTTTTTCAATAGCTGGATACTAATTAGCAGTTATGACTTAATATTTACTTAATACAGTCTATTACAGCAAAATGAGTTAGGATCTTTATTTATCTGAACACAAAAAACATGATATTGTACATTCAATCACTGAATATATTTGCTGCATTTGTATTATATTGGTTGTCTTAGGATCCTACTGTATTTTCCTCACGCTGGGATAATGAGTCTTCTAAATTGCTATCTGCAATAAATTTCTTGTGAAATTGTTCAGTTTTCTTTTTCCTCTCTTTCATTTTCCATTCTGAATAGAGAACCCTATAGTGAGACAGAGATTACAAAGAAAAACAATTCAGAGAACACAAATCACTAGAGTGCTTGGAAGAGGACAAAACTGACAGGTTCAAGGATTACAAATGCACCAATTGGTCATTTCAGCTGTATTCACACCAGGTCTTTTTCCAAAATACATTTGATAAGTTTGTCAATAATGTCATTAGCTTCCACAGTTTTTTTGCTTCTCTCTGGGTCTGAATCTGGCTGCTAGGTCCTATTGATGCACTTTTTCAGAAGCACACCATCCATTCCACACCAGTGATCCAACTTTCCGGTTTAAATTTTTTGCTTCTCTAGGAAGACACTGTCTCCTGAGAGTTTCTTCTCCTCCCCCATATAGGACCCTTTCCTTGAATCTTTGGCAGTTAACTCCTCCTCAAAGTTGCATCAAAGCAAATGAACGTGGGTTTTACTTTGCCAAATTGTGTCTTTTTTCTGTGAGAGTCATCTCAAGGAGTAGAAGGCACAGTGCAGATCTCTGGAGGAAGAAATGAGAAACCTTCTATAATCTTCTCCCTTCCATACTTAGGTGATGACAAGATCAATCAACAAAATATTCAGTGGGGGGGGAGGGGAGGGAGGAGAAGAAAATAAACGGAGAGCAATCCTGTGGAATGGGACTAAGTGCAAAGACCTGATGCGTATTTAAAAGTCTGATATTAAATAAAAAAATGTTCTGTCAAAGATGAAACAAAAAGCAGCCCCGAGAATTTTACTTTCCTGGCCTGCTCACCCACTGGAACCTCTTATAACAATACCAGGTGTCACAGAATCTGTGGATTTACAGTAAACCGTTTCATTTAGTCCATACTTCTTTCAAAGATAACTTATCCAAATCAGCTTTGCAGCAGAACATTGGTCTTAACTGCAGAAGGGAAACATGTAAAACACAAGCAGGCCCTCCCACCACCTTTTTTCCTTCTTTTCTTTATTGCAACAATAAACCATTGACTTCCATTGAACTACTGATGGTATTGATGCATTAGTTACTTTCACAAGCATATTTTTTGTGCTTTGCACTGACACAGTAAGATCAGTATCAGGGTAAAGCGTGCTAGAATTGAGGAACTACTTTCAGGGTCTTTATGTATTTTGGTGTTTTCACTCCTGGAAGAAACAAATCGATATAATCCCCTATAGAATGAGGAAGCCTACACAGTAATGTAGACATGTAACACGAGGAAGCCTCCTTGAAGTCATCATCCCTCTTTTCTACCTGTCCTAACCCGTGCTTCATCAGCACAGACTATCAGTGTCCATTTCCTTCCCAAATATATTCATGCACATCTACTCAATCACTTTAAAGTCCAAAAGTTAGTTTCTATAATCCTGCAGCTTAAAAGGATTCAAGCGTTGTGGACCACACCTTTGATGAACAAGTTATGATGTCTCAAAGGCCAAAGTTGCATTAATTTATACCAGTTTGATCATTTTCATCTGTGAGGATGTTTGATTTAAAGAAAATGCAGAAAGCTCATGCTATATAAATCTAGCTGGCTGATGAAAATGATGATCCACGTTCGTTTACTGAAACTTGCCACTCTTGCCTCAGATGCATCAACTGAACTCCCTTTCCCATGTCTAATATAGCTGTTTATTTTTAATCTCCCCCCCCCCCCCCACCCTGGGCTCTGTGGTTTTGAGGCAGCTGCATGGCATACTGAACAGAATTGCACCAGCTGCATCATACCACAAGAACATAAGACTCCAACTGAGATGCGTTTCTTTATTATGAAGCACATCATTTGTGAAGGTGTAAATACTATTGACATAGCATTTGTGCAATTTTCTTTCAACTTGGTTTCTTGTCCATCTTTCTAATAGTAAAGTTGGAATTTAGGAAGTGTACCAGCTATTGTTAAGATTAGTCATAAATCTTGGATACTTGATTGGAATCACAGCAGTACTCTGAAGGCTTCCGATCCTTCATTTAACAGAGCCATGCATCACCAGTGATATTGTTATCCTTTAAAACATACTATCCTAACTTCATCATGAAGGATGAATAAACCACCTGCCTCTTTCTCCTTCAGTAACAGTTTCTAAACAAGTTCTTTAAGGATGCTACTGCAGTACTTGTAGGAAGGAAAAGTAGCTCATTAGACATAACTAATGACATCTCCTGATGACATCAAATATATACCACAAATAGAGTTGCTACTATAGTGAACAAAATATCCCAACTGTATGAACTCAATTTTTTTTTTTCCAGAAAGTTCAGTTAATAAAAACTCTTGAGCTTTGTTCACTTGATCAAATTGACTGTTGAATACGAAATGATTTGTGCTAAAAGGCAGAAATGATCCCTAATCTTCCTCCTTCTTTCATAGCATACTTTACAAGCTAATTGCCAACAAAAACTTATTTGGTGATGTTTTAATGTAGCCTATCTCAACCAATACAAACGTCGCTCACAGATGTTTTTTCTGCCTTGTTAGCTTTTTCCCCACAGCTTCACCATTAACAGGCAATGCACAAAATGGAGTGTAATACCCCAATTTCAGTAGATGTTGTTTTGCCAGTAGCGTTTTTGATATAGACTGTTCAGGTTATGAAACTCCATCTTTTGCTTCAGAAAGAAGAAATTGAACACAAGAAAATCTCTGAAGATAGAAAGGTTCAAATGTATTGGCCTTGCAAACATGCAAAAGGGAATCAATTTAATGATGAGACTTGTACATCTATGAATCTTCTGAATACTAATCAATTTTACTATAAAAAAACTATAGCACTGGCTGCCAAATCACCAATGAGGGAATCTGTGCTGTATGAAACACTCCATATATCTTTCATTATTGACTGACTTTTAGTCCACTACATTTACTGGGTGATGTGACTAAGAATCCCATACCGCTCTGGAGATCACTGAGTTCTAGGAAGCTCACTGTTCATCTCACAGTCACGCACAAAGGAACTCTTTATTACTAAGCATCCCATAAGCACATATCCAGAGACAAAACTCAAATAGACTTTATAAGTGAGAGGATAAGGACAGTAGGAAAAATGAAGAAAAGCATTTATGAAGGAGCTGGACTCTGAAGAATATGATTCAATTAGCATGACTCATTCTCAGAGCATGTCCAATGGATCAAAACAAGCTCGCAGAATACCACCTATCTCTTATCACTAATATCTGCAATTAAAACAAGCTCTAGAAACAAACTTCTCATGCATTTAAACTTAGTTTTTTTGTTTTTCTGAGCAAGCCTGAAAGCACTTTCAGTTCTTAGAAAAAACCTGAAAAACTCCTATAAACGAAAAACAATCTACAGTAACTGAGAACTCCAGGTAGAGGCGAATAAAAGCCATGCAATATCGTTTTGCTCAAAACACCTAAACTTCATCTACATTGAGTTTTATGCTCCTAAGCCTTTTTTCCTCCCCATATAATTCATAATGCATAAGTAATTTTAGGCTTAAGAACTCAAGCTGACTGTCATTCCCTGCTGACTCACGGTATATAGAGGCAGAGGGAATTTCCTGAGCATCCAATTTCCTGAGCATCCAATTCAGTTCACTCAATCATACAAATCCTTCTATAAACTTAAATAGTTCTTGTATTGTAATGGAGTTAAGCAGTATCAAGATAGGAAGGGAGAAAAATGAGTAGCTGATTGAGTCAGAAGAATATCAGAATATATTCAATATGGATACGTTCAAACAGCTTTTTTCTTCTACCTTCTCTGTTTGGCTCCAGGGAGAAACTGTTGTTAAAGGATGATGGTTCTGAGAAAACATTAATATTTGTATTCAAGGGTGGTTCTTAATTCACAGGGATGGTTTTCTACCTTTTACTTCTAACAAGCAGTCTTTAATAGAGTTGCTCTTTCTTAAAATACTACATTAATAAACAAGGCTATTCAAAACACTAAGCTCCAGTAAGGTTTAGTTAAGTAGTAAAATGACTAAAATGAATCCCATCTTACCTTCTCAAAGGAGAGCAGTTGCACTGGATATTTGATTGCACTGTTAAGAAATAGTATGATTTTCTTCCCCCCCTCAAAAGAGAAAGATTACACAAGCCTATACAGTCTGAGACAGCAGTGTAAGTCACTGGAAGAATTTAGATCAGGTCATGTTTCTTAACCCATATTGCTTTTTACTTGCTTGATTTAAAATATGGTGTCAGATTCTGTCCCCCCCCCCCCCCACCACACACTTTTTTCTTC